TTACAATTAAGCTGAGTGAATTTGGTGTTATGCCGAGCTTATTGTATCGAACAAAGGCTATCATGTCGCAAAGATATTATGGTGACATCACTATTGTCCCAAACATTTCATATACTGATTTTTTCAAAATTCTATCTAATCCTACTCCTGAATCGGTTCAAGAAGCTACTTTAAGGGGTGAAAGGGCAACATGGCCCAGTATCCTTCCATTATTAAAGTTAATGTAATGGACCAGAATTCATTATCATACGACACAAACAATATTTCAATTTTGCTGTCTATCCTTGACTTTTCCAAGAAATTTCCATCATTAGGAATCACTGTCAAATTGAATTAACGCTAGATGAAATCGTTTACAGACTTCGTCGCCGTCTACTTGGTGATTCATTTCCAACTAAGGTTGCAACCCAAACTTTCTTTTGAATCATGACACTACCACATAGTTTGGATTTGGAAATCGGGATTTCTACATGCCCATTCTCAGTCGACAGTTTAAAATTCAAAACCAATTAAATTTAAATCAATGCATAAATTATTAAAAATTCGTTATTTTTGTTTCAAATTAATAATTTAAGGGGGGATTTAGCGACTAAGTTGGATATATTTAATAAATCGATATGTTACGGTAGGTCCAATGGTCATATCGAATATATGCACAATCAGTGAAAATAATAATACGACAGGGTGAGACCCGTAATTAATTGCAGATCTGCATCAAAAAGGTAACCTAAAAAACGCGAATAAAAAATCAACTCCGGTTTCAGTCTATCCTATCTGGTTTTTAGCTTCAAAATAAAGGATAGATTAACGCGCAGCCAAGATCGGCCCGAATTATGGGTCGGGATTGATTAAGATCACTTAAAAGTTTACTAATGAAACCATAGCTCCAGATGATAACTTTGCTGTAATACGGTTGGTGTTATTTCTTAATGCCGGTCTAAATCCGATGAAATCCGACCATAATTCGGGCCGATCTGCTGAATTTTGGCTGCGCTAATCTATCCAAAAACAAACTTCGAATCGTAAATAATATAAACTTCGAAATTTGAATGTAAATACTAACGCTAATAGTTCTTTAACACTAATGTAGTTCATTGTTGACTATGTATGTACGTAAGTCTATAATCATTAATTGATGAATGAATTTTTAGGCATTCAATCCAGTATAAATCAAAATTTCCAGCTCTTCTGATAAATACACCGGTTAGTAGCTAATTGGCTAACCGGTTACTTGGTTATGGTCTAATCGACTTTTAAGTCACTAATAAGGACCAAATTATCTAAAATTATAACTACTGCAGCAAGCCTAATTCTAAGAGAACTCAGACTGAAATAATATGCCCATAACCAAGAAAGCTTCTTTTGCATTAGACTTGGAGACTTGGTTAGATTTAGATTGTTCTTATACGTTTAGTCCCTAACCCAATTTTTACATATAAAATTTGGGATTGTTAGTCGTAATATTATTAAATATTAACAATGGAAACCAGTAAGTACTATCTGGAGACTCGAAGAATTTTATAGATTAGATTCGGGAACGGAAGTCAGTTGGATATTCACGGAAAACAACGTCACAAGATACATACGTACAACCACTTTCGAACACGACTTCTACTTCTCGTATTGAACGAAAGAAATTTTACCCGTAAAAATTTGTTACTTTTTCATAATGTAAATAATTTATGATTCGGCAAGCATTGTTAATTACTTTCAAAATCACGTTTAGATTTACAACTCTCATTAATGGGATATTACAATTACAATTCTATGAATTACGTCTTTCACATTTTTATTTAATTCGTTGCGGTTATCATTTCTTATCTAAAATATATTCAAAAGATTTACAGGCTAAATAAGAACTTCAGTCCATTGACGTAACTTTTATGTGCTTCTAAATCTTAAATGAGTTTCGTAAAAATGGATAATCTAAAGTAGAATTTGTTAGAAAATTCTTGGTAAAATCGAACAAGATTTTTCATAAAACGTACCTTTTGTGGACATTTCAAATTCGCTTCCGCCGCAGGATGTACCGTTCTATGACCATTTTTCCTAAGTATGAAAAGATTATCAAGTCACTACGTGACAAATGTAAACGTACATAAGCTATTAAATCAATACCAGTTGAGGTATATCAATAGTGCGCCATTGTCTTTTATACTTCGTTCAACCGTTTCGACTTCTTCTACTTCATCTTCCCAATTAGTTAATGAGGGCGGTGGATATTCCTCATCGATTGAATAATCACTATCATGAACATCTTGTTCCATGTACTTGCGTTTTCGTTCAGTCTTCTGTTGGGATGCATTTGTAGTTTTTTTCGTTGAATTGGTAAGTTGTTTTTTCAAGTTTTGACAAACCTTTTTTGTTGTCGGATTTTTTGCTATTATTTCGGCTTTGCCAGTACTCTTCAATTAGATCCTTTGCGTATCTGCATTTCATCAATTGGATGATTGTACCCTTAGCTTTTAATAATTTTAAAGCAAAAACGAATTGTACATACATATTTTCTTCATCTTCCCAAGTATTATCTTCACTATCGTAACCAGACCATTTTAAAAGGAACTGCGTAATATTCTAACAAATAAAGTATTTCATAACGCGTTCAATTTTAGATGTTTTCTGCGCAAAATGAACTTTAGTTTATAAAGCATTTAAGCAACTTACACCGTTCACCCTATGGTCCAGAACTTTCTCAACAACATACTCTTCTTTTCCTTCTGCAATGTCAGTTTCACTTTCTTCATACATCGATTGAGTATCACCGTTACGGCTATATTCAGATACCATTTCGAACCGACTTTTTACGTGAATAAGCAGAATAAATATGAGAAACCACTAATTAGTTCATATTACTGGGAGTCGAAAAATACAAACCAAAATAACTGACCAAAATTTTTAAAGATCGTAAGTTATTAACGCGTGTACTTATGTGTAAACTGAACGTGAGTGAAGGCAAAATAAATGATGCATTATATAATCAGTGATTTTATGTCCCCATTTTTTTGTACCGTATACTGTAGCATGACAGAGGTTCTCTTCAATTGGCTATCGCGTTTGATGATTTTCCTCAATTTGATTGGCCAAAAACAAATGTTACACGGAATTTTAGATATTAAACGATTTTTTTAATAAGAAAATCAAACTTCATCTAC